AATAGTCAATGCTTTGACTAAATCCGCCAACCAAGATATGATCAAGAAAAGATAAAGCCATCGAGTTTCACTACAAAATATTAATAACGTCATTAGTATTGATATCATATAATTTAAATTAGCCAATTAACAAAAAATCTTTGAATACAATTTATAATTTAGTAAATCACTGGTATGTGTAGTATGAACCAGCTAAGGCTGGAATTTTGATTGATGCTCTAGATTTTGAATTTAAGGGTGTCAAATAGCTACGAACTAGGCAACGTAGTCTGATGAACACTATTATGGCCTCTAACATCTTTGACCTCGACATTTAACCGACACAACTTGCAAATCTCATTATTCTCAGTATTGGTTTAGGAAGCTATATATAACATCATATCGGTTAAATGATGATCTTCATTGAGCACGAGACGAGGCCAACAGTCTCTATGCAATAGTCCATACAAAGCCAAACTAGTGTTGAACCCTCTCCAGGTGATATAGTTCTACAATTGCCCAGCACTTGATAAATCCAATGAAAAAGGTAATCTCATCCAATGGATCTGTCTACCATGTATTGATGTATGGGCTCAGCACACATTCGATACTATCAACTTATCTAAACTCTCACATAAAGCGGGCAATGTATTAGTATAGGTATGAGCCTTCTATCGTCAAGCACGCGATAGATTATTTGAGTATATCAAATCGATGATTAGGCCCAAGGATGGAAAATACTTGTAAATCCACTCTTACATGAAATATATAAGTAATATTTAGTTAGATAATCACAAATATGACCAATAAAAAATATATCAAATCATTATAATATGTTTTAAATAATTAATAAATACTACCTAAACAAGTGTAAGATATCTGACGATCTGATGTATGCGTGCCTTGCTCCTAATCCCAAGTTACCTCTACAAGTAAATGAGTCCAACCTTCCCACAAGCATACCTCTCAATGATAATGAGGTCCTTCGGTAAGGGTAAGTATGCTAGTAAAACTCTCGACGTAGTCTTGTTACAAAATAACATACTCCTTACTAAATATAGTAGAAAAGCACGAGATGCACATGCAATCACCTCATCATTTGATGTATCAGTGCCATGCCTAAAGGTCTAACATAATCAAGATAGTTGAATAGTATATCTCTTACTCGATTTGGTTTCATTTCTAGCATCATCATAAGAAACACCAAGCAACCTTGACAATAATGTGTTTGCCTCGTGCATTATCGATAAATAAGGCATTGTAACCAGGGTCCCTCTGATTAGGATGTGGAAAAGGGTAAACACTCCATCCAGTATGATAACCATCTCACTGAACAGCGTATGAAATATTTTCATCTCTGGCTACCACCTCTTGAAAAAAGCAAAGACTATTGTTGCGCTAATAATATGATAGGTGCAGTTGATGAATGTGCACAACCCTGACTAGACCACATGGGCTTGAATCCTACTGCTTAAATCATCTAGATGCCATTGCTGTAACTTAGACCTATGGTTAATCGACTTCAATTGACCTTGCTTTTGTAACAATAGTAACAACAACAATAAAAATATTAATATAACATCTCCAATACCAACATACACAATATCATAAATAACAACAACCAACCACTAAACTCTAAAATCATAAACTAACATGATTCGTATTATATAATTTGAGTGATTACATGGTCATTCCAAATTTGGAATGTAACAAGAGAAACGAAACTTGATATAATAAAAGTATCAGTCAGACCCTTTCGGAAAGACTCCATATGATGCACATCTGTGGTAGAAGTCAAAGGCTCAACTTGAGGAATGTCAGCAACTGTCAAGTCCTTTGGCTCATTGTCCCTCCTATGCTGTCTCCTTTTGAAGGCAGTCAGATGCTTTCGACTCGAGCCAACATTAGCTCCAATACCTTTACCTTGGGTACGAGCCATATCTATAACAAAACACAACTCATTAAAATTGTCAACTCAAAGATAAATTTACAAAATATATTAATTCATGGAAAAATTGAATAAAATTTATACAATCAAAAAATGGATCTTTAAAATTATTGAAAATCAATTATCGAGAGGCCTTACGTCTTTTTGAAAATTCATTTTTGAGAGATCTCAGGTCTTCTTGGATATGTATGTTAGAGAAGGCTATAGCTTTTTCGAAAATGAATGTCTGAATATACTATAGCCTTCTAAAAAATGAATGTCCTAGAGGCCTCAACTATTCTTGGAAATGAATTTCTGAGAGACTTTAAGTCTTCTCGAGTACCTATTTTTGAGAAGATGTGAGAAGACCTAAGACCTCTCAGAAATTCATTCCTAAGAATACCATGTGTTTCTCAGAAATTCATTTCCAAGAGGCTTCAAGTCTTCTCGAAAGCACTTTTTTGAGAAGCTCGAATTCAACTTAATTCTACCGTAAATCGTAAACCCTATTTCTACATGAATTTCAACCATATTTCAACCAAATCAATTGAAAAGAAAGCTAGAAATGTTACCTTTAATCAGTGAAAAACTCAAAAACAAAGCTGATATGGGGTTAGTTTAATTGATTTAGGGCTTTAATTGGAGAAAAGAATAGAGAATGAAGGGGAAAGGGTGGGAAGAGAAAATACAAAAAAAGGTTGTGGGGTGTATTTAATAAAACTAAAAAATTTAAGTTTGAATTTGGAGTGTATTTAATAGTAGGATGAATAAAATAAAAATAGAGGTATAAATAAAATTCCCCTAAATTATAAGATGGAGAGAGCACATCAAAACAATTGCAGCAATTAAAATTCTCATTCCATCTTTCACTAATTTTCTTTTTCAATAAGACCCTCTCAATTTGTATAATATAATTAATAAAATTAGATTTCCTCTTATTGAGGAACTGGGAGATCAGGACAAGAACTAAGAATAAGACAGGTGAGAAGTTGTTTATAATAATTATTTATACACTGCATTTCTGTTTTGGTTTTGTTATGTATAATGACCCACGAATTAGGATGATTTGCTAAGTGGTTATTAAACCAAAAATCTCCAATTATTTAGTAGAAAAAAAATTTATAATGGACAACTTGATTAGCTTTGATTTGTCTTTTACCATTTATTTTTAATAAATTCAGGATTGTAAAGGTACATTTTGTCTGTTAGTACTGATTGGGTTAGTTTTAATCATGCTGAATCTCTATTCATGCCGTAAGTAATAAGTTGAGGTACGGTACTTGTGAACATTGAACATGACCAAAGGCGTCCTTTATCATATCATTGGGTAACATTTTTTTTTTCGTAATATGATAAGGAGTGTCTTAAGTTTTGTTTAAGTTTAGTTCTTTCTTCCAATGATTTTAAGAGTATATTTTTTCATATTTATATGATACAGTTAGATTTTTTTGACAAAATAAGAATATATAGCTTTGCTGAGCAAGAATATATAGCTAGTATCAGCTGTTCCTCCATTTGGATGAAATTTCGAGTTCCAATTTCAATGCTTTTGTCCGAATCTCAACTTACATCTGACAAAGAAATGCCAATTAGTCATACAACTCACAAACGATAGAAACCTTCAAGTTGAATTATGGAGCTCATCGTCGGACAGTTAGAGTGAGACCAATTAGGAGCTACCACACTTTCAATTTTTTTTCTTTCTTAGGCTATATATTTGGACGAAGGATGTTGAAAATAATTAGTAAAAGTATTAGCAAGTGATTACCAAATAAACTTTAAGCCTTTATCAATAGCATGGATTTGCAGCTTGTGTTAACAAAGATGTCGTGTTTTATGCAAATTAAAGATGATTATAGCCAATAATTATATGAATTATTGATAGAATGTTAAATTTTTAATTTCAATAATTAAATTTAAATTTTAATAACTTTAATTTTAAAAAAAGGCTAGTATAGGATATATATAGCTAGCGCTTAGCACTTTGAACTTGTTCTCATTTGATACCGACAAGTAAAATTCGTTTACGTAACGCCTTTTAACATTGCAAATCAGTAAGAATGAGAGGTTGACTAGGATTATGTGTTTCGTTTCCCTGCTTCTTCACTTTATTCTTCCTCTTCCTTGATTCTTTTTTGATTGAGGTTCTTTTGGAACAGATGTCATTTGGGTCTTTCACATGCTCCTCAAGTTGATTTTCTATACTTGCAATAAAATAATCCTTCGACCAAGTCCGAATGAAAGAAACAATTCACTAAATACTAAAAATATTAATCAATCGCTAAATTTGATACATATAAGTTTTATTTTAACTTCTAATATTACAAAATTTATCTTTTCAATCAACTAAAGAAGCATTTTCATATTTTATTACTGTGCCCAGCAATGTCTTTCTATTACTATTAAAGAAATTAAATTCAATTACTATATTTTTTACTCAATTAATTGTGCATGTAATTTTACTTTTAATTTCATTTTTCCTTTTAAATTATCTATCATGCTTTTAATTTTTTTGTACGTTTTGTAACTTTGTATTCTATTAAAAAACAAACTACTGGCAAGAATTTAATTTTTTATTCTACCGTTTATATGCCTAATATATGGACTATGATGTTTAAATTTTGTTTATTTTCCAATCATTAAAATTAATTTATATTGCTTTCTGTAATTACTTTGAGTTCTAATTAATCCGAAGTTGAATCTGATCGGATCTCATAAAAAAAATAAATTTTTTCAAACTTGTTTTTTTATTCACAAAATTTAAAATCGAGATTTTACATAAAAAAAATCAAGCTCTTTGCCACCCGAATTAATAGGCGTTGGTATATTTTTTACATAAATTTTTATCAAAGAGGTTTACTTCATTATTTTTTGTGTTATATCTTGGTTTTGATCCAAAACGCTTTCCCACACAAGAATTTAGCTTCTTTTCCCACAAGCCTTAATGTCCATTAAATAAAATTTATGTAAAAATATTACCAAACAATAGTTGCAGCAATGAGTAATAATTCTTGATCGCTTTTATGATGCAAAAAACCTGTATAAATACCCTCCTTCTTTCTCGGCTTCCCTTCATTAATATCTCTTCTTTTCTTTTCTTTCGTATTCCCAACTTCTCTATTATATTCTCATTCGGAGTTAGTTATTGCATTTGCACATTCAAGTGAACCACACTCTTTCTTCTTCTTAGGCTTTTTTGGTTTGGTGTTAGATACAAACAAGATACAGAATTTGGTTTCCAGCTTTACTTACATTTCCTTCTCTCCTAGTTTTAACTCTTCTCAGTTGCAAAGATGGGTGAGAACGCTGCCACCAAGAACCACCACCAAGTCTTTAACGTCTCCATCGGTATCCCTTCTCAGAATGGCTCAGAATGTTTTGATGACGATGGCCGTCTCAAACGAACCGGTACATATTTCACTCCCTTCCCCTGTTTTTGCACATTAAATTTAACCTCTGCTTTTATCAAGATATAAATGAACATAAGGATTCAACGCTTTGTATTGGATCCACAGGAACATTATGCACCGCCAGTGCACACATTATAACAGCCGTGATTGGATCTGGGGTTCTTTCTTTAGCATGGGCCATTGCTCAACTCGGGTGGATTGCTGGTCCTGCTGTAATGTTCTTGTTTTCCTTTGTCACTTATTACACTTCTGCTCTCCTCACCGATTGTTATCGGACTGGTGACCCTGTCTCCGGCAAACGGAACTACACTTACACCGATGCTGTTGGCTCCATTCTTGGTATTTTTTTTTTCTGCTTAATATCCCTTGAAATCATGCTAATTTTTGGAATAATGTTAACAATGTTACCTATCAACACTAAAAGCGTTATAAAAGAAATCGGTAATAGGTGAAGACATTCAACATGAATATAAGACTTTAGGTAATTCAAGACTTAACAAACGTCGGACAACATCACTCAACTGATCCTAATCAGGTGTAGATGAATTTGGAGGAGTATACTTTGTGACAAACTCGGAAGAAATGAAAAGCAAAAACAACACATGCAATTTAAAATCAATTGATAATAAGTGAAAAAATTCAACTTAAATATAAGACAACAGACAATCTAAGATTTAACATACATGTGATAAATCTAAAATTTATCATATTTGTGATAAACTTTAATAAGCCGATCGCATGTGCGTAGAATTACCACGTGACAAAGGTAACAACCAGAACAAACACAAGCACGAGAACATAATAAACTTGACCCTTAGTATCATGTTAACCATATAACTTAAAAACAATTGATAGTAGGCAAAGAGACCCAAAATTAATGTAAAATCACATATAACCCAAGAATTAATAATGTGAAATAAAACAGCTTAGAAAATTTTTCTTCTTTCTATTTGATCAGGTGGATACAAAATGAAGGCATGCGGGTTGATTCAGTATCTAAATCTTTTTGGCATTTCCATTGGATATACTATTGCATCATCGATTAGTATGATGTGAGTAATAATTTCACCCAAAAAATTTATATGAAATAAATTGTTTCTCGTGTAAATTCCAAATTATTGTGGTTGATGTGCGTGGCTTATGACACCTATTACTATTTTGAGCTGGCAGGGCAATAAAAAGGTCTAATTGTTTCCACGAGAGTGGCGGGAAGAACCCGTGTCACATGTCCAGCTATCCTTACATGATTATTTTCGGGGTCACTGAGATCTTACTTTCTCAAATTCCAGATTTTGATCAGATATGGTGGCTCTCAATTGTGGCTGCGGTCATGTCTTTTACCTACTCTGGCATTGGTCTTGGTCTTGGAATTGCGAAGGTTGCAGGTATAGATGGCTTCTTAGATCAACTATTAGACGACTAAAGTCCAAAGCATGAGGATTTTAATCTTCTTAAAATGATGGTTTGTGTTCATTGTCGACAGCTACTGGAACTTTTAGGGGTAGTCTTACTGGAGTAAGCATCGGAACAGTGACACAAGCTCAAAAGATATGGAGGAGCTTCCAAGCTCTTGGTGACATTGCTTTTGCTTACTCATTTTCTGTGATTCTTATTGAAATTCAGGTATGCCTCTCAGTTCTCACTCTAATGAGAAAGTTCGGTTTTGGTTGAAATATATAGTACGGACAGTAAATAGCTTTGCTTCTGGTGTTGTAGGACACAGTCAAATCCCCACCAGCAGAAGCAAAGACAATGAAGAAGGCCACTAAAACTAGTATTGCAGTAACAACAGCATTCTACATGCTCTGTGGCTGTATGGGCTACGCCTCCTTTGGAGACTTTGCACCTGGAAATCTCCTTACTGGTTTTGGTTTTTATAACCCTTTTTGGCTTCTTGATATTGCTAATGCTGCTATAGTAATCCACCTTGTGGGAGCATATCAAGTGTTTTGTCAGCCTATTTTTGCCTCCATCGAAAAATTGGCAATACAAAGATGTCCTGAAAACTTCTTTATTAAGAAGGAGATCAAAATCCCAATCCCGGGTTATGGTTCTTACAAACTCAAACTTTTTAGATTGGTTTGGAGAACAGTGTTTGTGGTCTTAACCACAGTAATATCGATGCTGCTTCCTTTCTTCAACGATGTTGCGGGAATTCTGGGGGCGCTTGGATTTTGGCCTTTAACAGTTTATTTTCCAGTGGAGATGTACATTCAACAGAAGAAGATATCCAAGTGGAGTAGCAGATGGATTTGTCTGAAGATGCTAAGCATGGCTTGCTTGATGATTTCGACTGTAGCCGGCACAGGTTCAATTGTTGGTGTGATTCTTGACCTTAAGGTTTACGAGCCATTTAAGACTACCTACTAATGGTTGCTTGCTTTTGTGGTCGAAATCAAGAAAGAAGCGTCGCTGGTTAATTCATAGGTCAAAGATTTGTGTGGGTTTTCACTTGTTTGATTTACTTGGTTCAGTTATTGATGTTAAAGAAAGCAAATATTTTTGTAAATTATGCACTATTTGGATTTGAAACTGTTGTAATCTCAAATTCCGTTTCTTTTGAAGCACTCTGTTCATTAGTAAATTATTTAGGGTTGGACTGTTTCAAGAGGGATGTACCGAATAAAATCTAGAAATCTTTTATCATTTAAATAAAAAAATTATTTAAAGTTATTTTTTTGCTAACCCTTATTTATCTATTAGTAAAAAAATCATAAATAAGTAATTCATGAAATTCAACACAGAAAAAGAATTGTATCAAACAATTAAATCACATCAACATGTATTTTTTTATTCAAATCATATCATATAATTATATTATTAAAAAAAGTTAATTATTTAATATATATTATATGTGATAATTAAATTATAAATATTTATTTCAATAGATTTATTAATTATTTTACAATAAATAATTGATTTTTTTCAATAATATGAATATATGGAATAATTTAAACAAAAATGACATATACTAACATGGTGTAACTATTTTATATAATCATTTTTTTTTTTGGATAACACTTGGTAAAAAAATCATAAATAATTTACCGGATGTAATTTTGACAAAACTGAAAATGATGTCAATATCAGTTAACTTAATCTAATAATTAATTAGATCATCATTTTAATACAAAATGTTAAAATAATAATTTTTTGTTTAAATAGAAAAAATTTACGTATATAACATATAACCATACTCAATCCTAATAAATATGATACATGCAAAATAATAATAATATTAATAATATTGATGGCTTAGTTCAATTCGTTGTTTTCTCTTTGATAATCAATGAAACTAGTTTTAAGTTCGTGTTGTGTACGGGTAAGTCAACGACTATAATTTTCGTTACATATAATATTATTAGTGTTAAAAGAGTTATATAAATAAAAGTTTATATTGACATGATAAATACACAGTTACATTTAACATGTCCACTCTTTTTTTTTTTTTACAACGATGGAAAATTAAGTTTTAATTTCTATAAAATATTTTAAAATATTATGTAATTTCAAAAAATTAAGATTAGAAAAATTGCTATTTCTTCTATTCAAAAAATTAGTTGTCAAACATTACTTATTTGAAAATTTAAAATATTATATTTGTATTATACTCGAGGCAAATGTATTTAAAATAATTTTTGTAATATAACATTATTTCAAAACTTAATATAATTACAAATTTAGAGAACAAATTAAAATTTATTTTTATGACTACAAATATATTGATTATGGTTGACAAAAAACACTTAAGTCACCCTAAATAATTTGTGTCATCATTTTATTCACAATTGATTTAATTATTAAAAATAAAGCTATAAAAGTACAAAACAAAAAAAGTATGATATAGATTTTTTTTCTTAATCAAAAGCTATAAAGTTATAAAAGTACAAAACAAAATCAATATAATCTATCTAGTAACCTCTCAAAATAAAACAAAATAGTTGAGTTTCTACTAATCAATATCTTGTAAAAGAAAAAAAAATTCTAGTAATACTACATTTAACATATATATAGAAAATATCAAATATTCATCTTTAAATTATAAATTAGAAAAAAAAAATTACACTAACATTTATAGTTAATAAAATTGAAATTCTAAAAATAAAACCTAACAATTACACATATAAAAAATATGAGTAAAACCTCAATAAACTTACAAAAAAAGAACAAGAAAGATTATAAAATAAATTTGTTATAAGATAATAAAGACAAAATTGAAGAATAGTCAAATATGATTTGCTTAATATTCTTTTTGGAAGAACATTTGCATTTGTATTGTTTTCAAGACACATTATCATAAATGCATTAAAAATTTATTATTATTAATCATATAATGTAATAAGTAATAAAAGACATGGAATTAATGTGTTTTCCCTTCAAAATTATTGATTTTGAATTTTTACCTAATCTGCTATGTTTAAGAAAAAATAAAATCTTTCCTAATTTAATGATATCATTATTGTCAAATATTAATGAGCTTTTTTTCTTAAAATTTGGATTTTTGTATTTGTGATCACATTAATCATAATTCACTCGTAGAAGGCAATGATATTAGATATTCAAAACAAATAAATGCAATTAATTTAATAAAATATTATTTTTAAATTACAAATTATTAAATTAAATCAAATGCATTAATTAGTGAACACATGGCTTTAATGTGGACTATCTATATGTCAAAAACTTAAATTATCTACATAGGACAATTACTATTTTTATTAAAGGCTTTGACTTCTATATATTTATATAAAATTTGTTAGTTATTAGTATTTCTTATACTAATTTGTCACATTTATCTTAGGATGATGCATGAGTCTTTAAAATTGATACTCAAATATCCGTATGGGGCAATTGAAGAGGAATTCCTCCATACATTTGGTTTGGTTTAATTTTTAAAATTTTAACAAGCCTAATGCGAAAGTGAGCAGCTAAGGAAGAGATAAAGAAAAGGAGAAAATCTCAAATGTAGTGCTTTTGTTTTAAACAAATTTAAGGTTCTCTTTTACTGGTACTTTTTTTTTTTTTTAATAAGTATTGGTACTTTTGTTAATAACCTTTTGTTTATGACAAAAAAATGAAAAAGCATTTGAATACAAAAATAGATAATAATTTTTAAATATTATATATTAAATATGTACTTTTTTAAATAACAAATTACGCGATTTTATTTTTAAACAAATTAGTTTTAAACCCGTGCTATATACAGGGTAAACAATTTTATTATATTTTTTGTTATATATATTATTATTTATAAACAAAATTAACATATTTTATTAAAAAAAACTATATTTTCATGATATTTTTGTTATTAAAATTCTAATTTTAATAATATGAGTAGTAAATTTATACAATGATATTCTAAAAAGACTTAAACCTATGATATATAGATTAAGATTATTAATTTGGTTTATGAATTAATTGGTTATCACTCCTCAAACAAATTAAGATTATTAATCATCAAGCAAATTATGAGAAAATATTTATTAATCCTCACAATATATATTTTTTCAAATTTGTATTTCAGATCATTTGTGTAAAATTTTCCTACCATTTAGTCAAAAACCTTTTTCTTGAAGAATACATTAGTAACTCCTATGTTGTAGAGATAGTTTAATCAATAGTAATATGCCTTCCCAAAAGGAGGTCACAACAAACTTGAATTCAAACTTTCCATAAAAAATAGTAATCAAAATAATACAAAAATAAATATAAAGTGATAAAAACTTTAATAATAATTGACTTTATTAATTTTTGAGTATTTAATCCATTTATGTACAACATCACAAAAAAAAGAAAAAACCTAAGCTACCTTTACTCTATGGCTAAAAGAGTATCATGAATTTGAATTTTTTTTTTTTTTTTTTTGCAATGAAGCAATCTATTTCTCAAGCATCCCAAAAAACTCACTTATATAGATCGGTCTTACAAGTAATTATGGAATGATTTATAACTTTTGAATAATTAATTGATTAAAATAAAATTAAAGAATCAAATTAATAGTAATTTATGCTTAACAATTAGAATAATTAAACATAATTTATATTTAATATATTTGAGAGAAATGAAAAGAGAAGCATTTTGAAATTAGTGTAAGAATGATGAATGAATTTGTTTTGATTTGACATACGAAATTTAATTTTAATTGATTTGATCATTAATTAATCATTTTAAAATCAAGCTATTAAAAGAATATACATAACTTAAAAGATGGAGCCTATTAGCTTATATTTTTAAAAAGTTGTATTTTTTTCAATAAACATAATTCGAGAGTTGAGCAATATAAAAGACACTTTAAACAACAGAGACCAAGGAATGATTCAAAGTAAAAAATTGAAGTGAAAATTGGGCATTTATAAAAAGATATAAAATTAGTGAACAGTGATTAAAATTATGTTACTTGTCAAAATAAAAAATCTAGAGTTATATATACAAAAAGTTTGTTGTAGGTTAATTAATAAGCAACTTTAAAGTGATGAAACTGAATATTGAAATAATAAATATTGTAAGTGAATGGTGATAAAAAAAAATTCAGTTGGAAATTGAGAGTGAAATAATATAATTAATTAACTTAATAACGAAAAATTAATTAAATATTTTTGTTTTCTACATTTACACATGGGTTAAATCAATTATTCGGTTGGATATCATACTTAATCAAACATAATTTTATCAAATAACTGGTTAGGTAGTTAACTCTTATATCACATACATATGTAAAAGATAGGTTAAATGAAATTTTGAAAGGAAATAAATATAATAAATGTATTGAAATATTTTAAAATTTATATGAAATCAAATAAAACTAATTAAATGCAAGACATGTGGCGATTATTTAAGATCGTCCACATGTCAAAATAACAGACCATCCATATTAGATTTTTTCCTTTTTTGCCAAAGGTTTTGGCTTTTATATATTTATTAATTTGTGGCCCATGCAATGCACGCATTATTTATATATATATAACTATACACACAAATAAGTATTTTTAATAAAATAATATAAAATTTACATATCTTTATATATATATATATATATATATATATATATAAAATCCAATTTACCTTTTTAAGAAAACAAAACTTTTGTCAATGAGATCTTTTCTTAATTATTGGTAAGGAAAAAAGATCTTGAAACCTTGAGATCCAGAGTTCAAATTTTATCATATGTAGGTTTGATTAAACTTTATATTGGATTTGTCTAGTTATATCCTAATATAAATATTGATTGATTTATTTGTTTAATTTAGTTTAGTGATTTTCTAATATGAATGTAATATTTGAACAGTATTATTATTAAAAAAAAAATCAAAATTTGCATCAACTCAAAGTTCTTCATCAATGTTACATTTTTATGTTTATTCTAGTTAAACATAAGTTAGTTATATAAAAATAACTTGTGCATTATTTATGTTTACATCAATTTCACATTAACTCAAATTTATCTATTAGGATTATAAGAGTAATATAGATATATTTTGGTGCAATTTCAATAATATTTTAGCAAATTTAATTTATAGAAAATGTAAATATAATGTTTTCTTTTGACTTTTCTAAGAAAAAATTAAAAGAAAAAATTGATTCTAATAAATGACTATGTTTACTTTTTCA